CAAATGACAAAATGACAAGCGATGAACGAATGATCACGCTGTGTCACTTGGAGTGGTAGAAGGAAACGAGCAAATTGTTGGCTAGCTGCTTCACGAAGTAAAGCCGAAGATGATACACGTGTGTTATTGCTCGCAATATCGGAATATTGGAACAAAATATCATGCTTGATTTTGATTTTACAAGCTCCTTTGATATTGCGAGACTATTCACAACGTGCAAAAATCAAGCTGAGAGTTGACTCGACACAAAAATGATTCCATTGCACATCGTTTTTTAGAAAGAGAAAGCATAGTTTGCTATTTCTTTTTTATCTTCACCGATGGCAGACGCACAGGGACTGCTGCAAGCCGTTATGGAAGTTTCGGTTGCATTCGGGTGTAAAGCAAAAATCATTAAACTCAATCTCACCACAGTTTTGTGAGATTTGCAGTTGGTGAGTTTTGTTAGCTTGATATTCCGAGCTGCGATATCACAGCTTGCAAAATCAACCGCAATTGTTTGCTTGTTGATTTTTGTCTACGAAAATTAAGCGTGATCTTGGGCTTTGGTGAGATTTGATTTTTTGATATTTTCCCAACACTGGATCAAGCTATGTCCTCATCCGTGTATATTTCAACAAAGCAGGCAAGCAATATATCATACCACTTCGATCGAGCTATGCTACAGAGCGAGTTTGTGATGGTAGTCGTAGCAACCGCTATGTCTGTATCGTTGGTTGCTTTATGTGTTTGGATTCGCTGGGTACAATACATTCCGAAGTGATTCAGTACCTTCCGAAGTTAGGCCAAACTTTTCTGAAGTAATTCAGTGCTTTTTGAATGATTCAGTGTGATTCAGTATTTCCGAAGTGATTCCGGGCTTTTATGAACCGATTTAGTCCTTGACTAATGGCTTTTCTTTCAATGACAGAAGGCATGATCATAGATGTTATGCCTCAGAAAATCCCAACGGTGCCGACTGGGATTAAACCCAGGCCCTATGAAGAGAGAGGCAGTCACGCTTACCCCTACATCACCGGTGCCACTCATACTAAGCTTTTCTAGGTGATGCAATACTTTTCTGTGTGAGCCCATACTTATGACGGGTAGTGTATAACATATTAGACATCATCGTATACACGGCCAACGAGAACGAACCAAATTTGAGTTTAGTTTACTGATAAATCACATAAAGTGCAGGAACTCAGCGATGGGTAAATTTGCCTAATGTTTTCCAGGTTTGTCCAGGGAAAAAATCCCGAATATGAGAATATTAAAGATTGGATTCACTCAGTCTATTGGAAATTCTTGTAAGCGGTCACGGTAGTCGACACATTTTCTGTGGTAATTGACTGCCTTTGCCCCCGACATTTGCAAAACTCGATATCGTAGTACAGTACCGAACTAAAATGTCATATGACAGGCTGTGTCATGCGACACTGTCGCCGAAGACCGTCACGAATGTATGTAATTTAGTTTTTCTCATAATAAGAGCTGCTGATGGTGTGCTTGTGTGAATTCTGAAAACAGCAAGCAATGCCCAACAAACATTGAATGTTGAATAAGAGCTTATTCAGGCAAAAATAAGCTTCTTCAGCTAAAAAATGGCCTTTTCAGCTGTTAATCAACTCAAATTGTTTGTTGGGTGATGTTCTAGTAATAAAATTTCTGATCAGAAATGGTTTAATTTACAACAAATTGAGGAATTAGAACGAAATCACACATGTCATATGATAGTTATTTGAAAATTTAATCTCGAATGTTATGCTACCGTTTGTATTGTATGCGAGAGACGACGGTAGAGCATGAGTGTACGAATACAAACAGACTGTCGCGCACGACTACGAAGCGAGTGTACTAACGTCAACCGTTTTAACCCCTGATTGGTACTATTCCTAGCCTGAGTAAAATTTTCGTCAATTTCCTCATCTTCCGGCAGATTTTTTGAGGTTTTCCACTGAAAAATATGAGACAAATGTACTCATAGCTGTGTTTTGTCAAAACACGGTCGAACAAGAGCCTTGCACGCTTTTTGGCCATGGAATTCTGCTTCATGTGCCGGTTCGGATGTTTACTGGCTTTGTACGACTTGTATCCTTTCCTGGCAAGGATGTTCCGCACCGTTTGAAAGTTGGCGTTGTACCTTCTGGCCACATCTCGGATCAAAAGACTGGGGTTGGCTTTAACGCACCTCAACACCTTGCTGCGCAGCTGACGATCCCTGTTTCCAGTTTTTTTTTTCGTAGGTCCGCTGATTCCTTTCCACACTCAGGCTTAGAGGACTCGACAGACTGTTGTTTTTGACATCCTCAGCACTTTATCCAGTTTGGAACCCTTCGGATTTTCCATGTGTTTGCGCACAATTTTTTTTTCTTCTTTCGAGTTCCATTTGACGTTATTTCTGAACGCGATCGGCTACTTTGATCAAACTTGCACCAGTGTAAGCAAACTACTGTCAAAGATTTTCGATTCCCAACACTAGAGGCGTGCTAGCGGCGTGCGAGAGGCGTACCAATTTACTTTTAGTCAGCCTTTATACTATCAATCTGAGAAAACTATTAAGCAGAGGCTATGTTTTTAAACTTCAAAGCATAAGTAAATTAAATACATTGAGTTCGTGGCAACACATCGGTTTTTGCCACCAAACTGCAGACGTCACTGCGCTGCTACCGACCAGCCAACTGAACAGTCAGCCTCGACAAAGGAAAAGGAATCCTGGCAATGACAGCACAGTACACAGCCCGGCATAGCAGCAATCAATGTGGGAGTGGAATGGAATGTGTGCAGTTTTCCATCTGAGTGAGCCTTCCACCGTAATTACACACGAAGGTAATTTTCCCGTCTTACAGTAAGCGATTTTCCATTTTGAGAAAATGCTGCTCTTTTCGTTTCTACCTCCAAAGTGGTTATAAGTGGCAGGGATAGAAACAGAAGAAGTGTGTGCCATTTGGATGAAGTTTTTAAGTTTTTAAGATTGCTCTGCCCACTCTGAGACTGCCGTTTTCCTTTTTATGCACAAACTCGATTCATCGCGCGGAATATTCATAGAAAAATAAGTTATCGACGGAACCATGGGATAGGAGAAAATTTGGTCGCCAAGGCAACTGTCACAAATCCCTCCCAATTACCGAAAGCAGCACTTTGAAAGTTTTTCTTTAATCTTCCCAAAAGTTTTCATTTCGCTTCACTTTTATTCCATTGCACGTGATACCGTGGGATACCAGTGCAGCAATAATGCACAACTAAAAAGTTGGAAGCAAACAGTGCACCACCACCAACAGCACCATCGTCATAACCACCGCCATAGTCACCGTGACGATAATCCGACTGGGCTATCTCGCCTTGACGTGCCCTCAACCAAACAGGACTCTGCCAACGGGAAGATGCTGTGTGTAGTTTATGCGGTTAAGCCGGAGGAAAGTAGCTTAATCGTTTTTGGTTTGCCACGACATGCCAGGCGCAGAGGATGTTGGTTACATTTTTCATTGTGATGACAGCAGCTTCCGGTCTCAGCTCATGATGGAGTGGGAAAATTCCGGTTCGGTATACAAGTAGTTGGTATAAGAATTTTGACATAATCAACTCATTTAGATCCCCTGTGAATATGCGCAACCAACAACCTAATGGAAAGTGCACAGTAACGAACTGAATCCAACGAAATTATGCCAAAACATCTTAAGATGAAATGTTCCCATCCCATCCAAATGCCCACGCAAGTAAAATAGTAACTTTTATTTGTCTTGCAGACGGCGAATGAGAACGATCCAAAGTTGAGTTTAGTTTACTTATAATCGCCAAAACTGCAGGAATTCAGCGAAGAGTAAATTTGCCTCATGCTTTTCTGTCGAAAACCTAAAAAATCTGCGGGAAAATGAGGAAAATTTATGAATCTAATCTAAAGTAAACCCCACACGTATCAATATATTTACGCGAAGGGGAATTATTGACATTGATATTGATGATGTGAGTGCAGAAATATTGTCAATACCGATGTATTGACGTCAATATTGAATGTATTGACGTCAATATTGAATGTATTGACAATACGATTATTGTCAATAAAAGCAATCGTGTACGGTCCACATATGAGTACCAGTAAATCCAATCTTTACTTTTCTCAAATTCGAAAAAAAATTCCGGGACAAACCTGGAAAACTTGGAAAAACATGAGGCATATTTGGGTTATTCTCATTCGCCGTGCACGGACAGGGAGAAGAAAACTGCACACTAAAGAGGATTACTCCACTGCTGGGGAGGACGAGGAAAACTTTAATCCTATAGCCGGGGCAGGGAAAAAACTTTGTTTTTTTTTTCGGGTAGGGCAAAATTATGCATATCCAACAAATCTACGGAAAAGCTGGAAGGAACTAACTACTTTGGGTTATTAGGTACTTGGAGATAAGGCGAAGAAATTGCTCAGTGCAGTAGAAATAGTGTAAATGTGTGGAGGTAAAATAGGATGTACTTCTACTAATTAAACTACTTTTAAAAGCATTTCTACCGAAAGCAGTGAGGTAGTGATAGAGTGATAGTCTTTCTATTGCCAATCTTTTTCCTTTTTCTTTTTCTTCTCAGTTATGTTAGAAACACAGTTGGTTGATAAATATTAACTTAAACACAAGAGACAAATAAAATTTCCTTCACGGTAAAACAAAAAATCCCCGAGTCTTTCTCCTATTACTGGTTCAGTAAAAGTCTTGGCAATTGAAGTTCGATTTCATGCAACTTGTGGTGGGAGTGAAAAGTCCAAAATTTCAATCAAAACTCAAAAACCAATCCGAATATTAAAAATCGTCTTCAGTGCCAACACACACACACACACAAAATCAAAAACATTGTGTAGTTCTTTTCAGGAAAAAATGTTCAATCAAAATCAACGGAAGTCATTCGGGTGTTTCTGTGTGTATAAATTGCAATTACAAACCAAAGTGCGCGAAACTCTCAAAAATTGAAGATTGAATTAAAATTATTTGAAAAATAATACGAGACGAATTGGACGAAATTGTCAAGGAATACTGTACCTTGAGCGCCTCCTCGTGGTTGATGGCCATGAACGGCGTTCCGTTCACCTCCAGTATCGTATCGCCGGGCCGGAGACCGGCCCGTTCCGCTAACGAATCTTGCTCTATTCGCGATATGTACACGCCGACACCTGTTGGAGAAAAAAGAAATCGAAAGTTGGATTAGCATGAGCGTTCATTCGAATCTGAATGGATTCGACAGAGATTTTTTTATAATAGAAATACGTTTGTTTTAAATTTCAAGGCCCACTTAGTATGGTATGCAAACATTCTCTCTTCCCTGTAGATTGTTCATTACTTGCGCAAGCGCAAACTGCCCACACATCATTTGTTCATCGATTTCAAATCCGCATACGACACAATCGATCGAAATCAGTTATGGCAGATTGTGCACGAGTACGGATTTCCGGATAGACTGACGCCATTGGTCAAGGCGACGATGGATCGAGTTATGTGCGTTGTTCGAGTATCGGGGACACTATCGAGGCCCTTTGAATCACGAAGGGGGTTTCGGCAGAGTGATGGACTCTCGTGTCTGCTATTTAACATCGCGTTAGAAGGTGTTATAAGAAGAGCTGGGATAGGCTTTGCCGATGCCATTGACATTATGGCACGGAACTTTGAGACGATGGCGGAAACGTACATCAGACTGAAGGCTGAAGCTAGGCGGATTGGACTTGCCATCAACGCATCAAAGACAAAATACATGAAAGGAAGAGGTTCTAGGGAAGACAATTGTAGCCTCCCACCCTGAGTTCAGATTGACGGTGACGAAATCGAGGTGGTCGATGAGTTCGTGTATTTGGGCTCACTGGTGACCGCCAAAAATGATACCAGCAGAGAAATTCAAAGACGCATTATGGCAGGGAATCGTGCCTACTTTGGACTGAAATTCACCGCCGCACGAAGTTCACTATCTACAAGACGCTGATTAGACCGGTGGTCCTCTACGGCCACGAGACTTGGACTATGCTCGTGGAGGACCAACGCGCCCTTGGTGTTTTCGAACGAAAGGTTTTGCGTATCATCCACGGTGGAGTGCAGATGGATGACGGAACGTGGAGGAGGAAATTAACCTCGAATTGCACCAGCTGCTGGGAGAACCATCCATCGTCCACACTACAAAATATTGGTGGAGTGAAAATGGTTCTCGAAAGCAACCCAACAGGCACAAGAAGAAAAGGCGCGCAGCGGACAAGGTGGATCGACCTGCGGACCCTTCGCAGACTACGCGGCTGACGACGTCTGGCCATGGATCGAGTAAAGTGGAGACGACTTCTTCAGACAGCAGAAGACATCAAGGCCTTAGTCTGATTGGTAAGGTAAGGTAAGCCACGAGATCCAGAACATAAATTTAAATAGGGGAAAATGGGGCCATTTCGTCAATGGGGCAATGCAACTTATTGAACATATTTTACAAAAAATCTTTTGCAAGCTTAATACTTGAAGCCTACTTGAACGATCCATTCCATTTTAGGCTAAAATATTAAATATATCTAGTGAGAATATTCAAAAAAATGTCAAAAATGTAAGTGTGCCGTAGGTGTGCCGATTGTGCCGGTCATAGAGTAAGCTGCGATTGTTTGTAAAATACCCATCCCGACAATCCGATATTTCTGACCCCTTGAATGACTTGAATTGAAATCGCAAGCATAAATCGGATTGAGGATGACGCGGCAAGTGGCGGGTGTGCAAAATTGTGGTTGTTTTGCATCATAGGATAAAAAAAATTCCTGTGTTTTAGGGTTCTATAATGCCCCCAAAGGCAGACTAGAGACCTAGTATTTCGTGATGTGAACCTGTGGGAAACATTGTAGCAGACCGACTATAGGCCTTTTTAATAGGAACTTAATGATCGATTCAGCCTCTGGTGGTGAATAGGAGAACGTCAAAAAGAGTGTTGTGAGCAGAAATGTTTGCCTTGAGACATAGGAAGCGGAACACGTTTTTACTTTTCCTGATAAATTGATTCATCTGAGATGCTCCGAAACTTAATCTACAGTTGAAAAATTTAATTCTGTAACGTTTTTGCAAACATCCTGCTGGTGTACAGGAATATTTTTGTTGCGAAAAATGGAAAATTAGAAAAGTGCCTTAGTGGTTATGATCTTCCGGATTTCTTTTGTGTGGATAGTTAAGGTACAAATCAGTTCAGATCTGTGGAAAATCGTACAATAAGACAATTACCGATAGAAATTGGCAAGATTTTGAATGAAAAATGCTTTAATTTGCGTTGTGAAAAAATGTTATTCTGATGTAACACCCCTCACCATCCCTCTCCAAAGGGGGAGTTTGGTAAAGAGAGATGAAAAAACCGATTTGTACCTTCCTTAAAAGTTGTCCTAGCTCGCTATTCTAATATCTATATGCAATCTTCACACTGCCGTACTCTAACGGAACTATCAACTCTATGCTTTCATCTACTCCATCTATCGTATAAAAAATACCACTACAGTCTGTTATTTGAAATTAGCATCTTTAACTAAATAATCCCGATCTGTTCTCAGCGGATGAACTGGTGGAGATTTTCATCAACATGACCGGTGCTCTACGTAAGTTTTGCAATAAGCTCAAACATATCGAAGTGCTCGGTAAGTTCATAATGCAGTATGGTGTCTAAACCGTTAACCATCGCTAACTGGCACGCTTGCTCTATAAGAGCTAAACAGATTGAGCTTGCCGACTTCCTCTTCTAACCGAGACCCACCTAAAGTCCGGTGACAGTTTCCGGTTGCCTGACCACAACATTATCCAGCTTGATCGCACCAGCTCCAGGGGTGGTGTAGCGGTCATCGCCAGAAAGGGAATCAAGTTCTGTACTCTGCCCCACAACCGCACTTCTATCATCGAGGCCGTTAGTGTGGAGGTGGAATTACCAACTGGAAACGTCCGGTTTATCGCTGTTTACTGCCCACGCTAGTGTACCGCAAGCAACGGACTAGGAATCCAATGCAAGAACGATCTGACCACCATCAATAGCTCCCGATTCATCGTTGGGGCGACCTGAATGCCCGCCATGAAGCTTGGAGGAACTACCAGCGGAACCGGAACGGATGTCTATTGTTCGACCACGCACTGTGTGGACTGTACACTGTGTGGTTTCCGGACGAACCAACTTTTATCTCTACGGCGGGAAATCCCTCCACCCTGGACTTGTTCCTGTCGAACATCGAACTATCCAAACCGAAGGCGCACAACGATCTCAGCTCCGACCACCAATAAGTGGTGACTGAAGTCGGTGTCAACGTGATTCCTGCTAGAAAGTGCCTGCGTAAAGACTACCACCTGGCTACAGTACGGACGAATGGTGGACAGCAAAATCGATGAAAATCCACCGCTCGCCACAATAGATGACATCGACCGGGCGATGGAAGGACGTGGCTGACGAGGCGTGTGTTCGAAGTTTGTTGCAATTGATTCCCACACCCAATTACTGATTCGGTTGAGAAATGTTCGACAATTTCAGAGGATTGGAGATCTGGGCAATAAACATGAAATGGCCGATCTAAACAGTCAGTTTGCTTCCAGAATGGACTCACTCCGAAATGAAAGTTTCGGGCGTGTTGTGCAGAATCTGGACGACCACTCCAGACCATTATGAAAGGTAGCCAAGGTCCTGAAAACTCATCCCAAACCCGTTCCACCTCTCAGAGTAGAAAATGATGACGATCGGCTTTTAATCACCGCACAGGAGGAAGCAAATGCGATCGGCGAGCATGTCGCTTCATCGCATTTGCTTTGCTCGAACATCCAAATTCCGCTCGAAGATCAGGTTGCGTAATGCGTTAAAAACCTAGATGCCTCCCCTTGTGTCGTGCCTCCGGCGGATATGATTACAGTACAACAGATTTGCTCAGCGCTGAAATGCACCAAGAACATGAAGGTTTTTTTTTTCTTAAACTTTATTAAAGAGATTTTTAGCCTTAGGCTAGTTCATCTCTAAAGAACATGAAGGCCCCCGGGTTTGACGGTATATTCAACTTGATCTTGAAGAGACTCAGCATGAAAGTGCAGTCTCTTCTAACCACTATCTTCAACAGATGCTTGGAACTGCACTACTTTCCAAGCATCTGGAAAGTAACAAAAATCATACCAATCCGCCAGCCCGGAAAGGATCCAACATTGCCTTCAAGATACAGACCAATCAGCCTCCTTTCAGCGCTGAGCAAATTGTTCAAAAAACTCATTCTCAATCGTTTGCTTAAGTTTGTTGAGGAAAATAACATTCTCCTTCCGGAACAGTTTGGATTCAGAAAGGGGCACTCCACCAATCACCAGCTAGTATGGGTGATGAATAACATCCGAAGTAACAAAGCTGTAGCCAAGTCCACAGCCATGGCCTTGTTAGATGTTGAGAAAGCGTTTAACAATGTTTGGCATGACGGACTTGTGTACAAGCTTTGTAACTTCAACTTTCCATTACATCTGCTTAAAATCACCCATAACTACCTCCAGCAAAGGTCGTTTAAGGTATCGTTGAATGGTTGTCTTTCCGACACGATTTCCATCCCAGCAGGAGTCCCGCAAGGCAGTTCCAAGGCAGGGGCCCGTTGCTTTACAGCATTTACACTTCCGACATTCCTCCCCTCGGAGACGGTTGCATGTTCTTCCTGTTCGCAGATGATACCGCAATAGCCGTCAAAGGAAGGATGCCTCGCGAAATAACGAACAAACTTCAACGATGCCTTAACGCCTTTGCTGATTATGCCACCACGTGGAAAATCAAACTCAATGCCTCCAAAACTCAAGCGATCGTGTTCCTCCATCGGCAATCGCATCGCATAATGGATTATGATCCAAGTCTAGGCTACTTCCCTAGTGGTTTTCGAAAATTGACTGGATGTGGCCAGCGTGATCCGGGCTATTCCTAATAACTGCCATCCAACTGGTTGTTGAATTTAAATGTGATTCAATGGTTTTTGATCATATTCAGAAACTGGCCACTTTTCCGAGGGGATCGAAACATGGCCAGGTGTGGCCAATGTGGCACCGACCCCCCAAATGACTACCATTGAACTAATTGTTTATTATAATGTGATTTGAGGGTCACATGATAAGTTTAATTCGTTTGAAGTCGCAATGTGATACAGCAAATGTTCAGAGCTTTCACTATTTAAGCTACAAAAGCGAC